ATTTGTTTTCTGAACTTGACTGGAGAAGGGTAGAGAGTTGCTTGTTTCTTCTACTTGATGAAGAGACCTCAGGGTGACCTCTGGCCCAGGTCAGGGTTTTTATATCATAACCAGTGAAAGTGGCTTGTGATTAGGTGCAGACGCTTCTCTGGAGAGGACAGCAGCATTCCTTAGTGAGAGATGAACCTATCTCTAACTTAAGGGCTTCTTTGATTTATGGATGCTTGGGGCAATAACATAGAACTGCCAGAATACTCATCCCAGAAGCCCAGCCTCCAGATTTAGCCTCAATATGGCCTGTACAACGTCATGTGCACAGCATCACACAGTGTGTGCACTCTTCAGATAGAGGGGAGTGTTTATAGTTGAACACCAGAGCCCTCGTTTTTTTCAACTGAAGACTAGGGAAAAATGCCTTTTGTTGTTGTTGCTATAAGAATATCTTCATTAATTGGTTTTTGAGCTTTTCATTTCTTAGCAACTATTAACAACTCTTCACACTCTTCAAAACTTGAAGGGCTTATAACTGAAAGGGGAGGGAGTCAAGGAAACCTGAGCCAAATGTGGGTGAAGGTTGAGCCTCACCACTTTCTACCTCCCCTCTTGGAGGGCATCTGTTGTCGTGACCTCATGCTGCCTCTCTATTACATGGATCTCCCCAACCCTCCCAATTTTCAAGAAGTAATGTGGAGTAGTGGGAAAAGTCTGGATTTCTGTTTTGATTTTTTTAAAAATTGTCTTGTTTACCACTTATCGGCCACAAAATCTTAGGCAAGTTCAATAGGTTTTTAGAGCCTTGATTTCCTTCTCTGTAAATAGAGGGAACTGCTATGAAGATTCAGAGAAGATGCATGTGAGGTTTGTAGCACAGAGTCTGACTCTTAGCAGAAATTTCACCCCAGGTTCCCCTCACCTTTCCCCACCTGGGGTCTGGATCTGTCCTCACCCAGGTATACCTCAAGGTCTTGACTCACCCTTCCGCATTTCTCATCCAAATTCATCCTGGTATCATTATGTCAGGACTTCACTACAGGATTGACTTGATAACCTCTGTCAAACTAATTCCAGGGAAAGCGTGAAGGCTGAAATCATTTTAATGCACTTACTCACAGTAAAAGGGGTTTTTGAAAATATTGGGCCTAAATGTGAAAGAATACCCTCTTATACTGGTCAAGCCAGGGGGAGGATATTTTGGGGGAGAGATTTATTTAGAGATTCTCAAATAAAAAAATTTTTCCATGAAAGAGGTCAGGTACTCCCCCCCAAATAAGGTCTCCCTGGATTTCTTCTTACCTAATACTTATGGAAAAGTCAAGAATCATGGATTACCTAAAACATTGATTATTCAAACCTTAATGTGTTTAAGTTTGAAATGCATACAGAATTTCAGGAAAAACACCCAGAGATTTTGATTCAATAGATCTCTGAAGAGGCCCTCAGTTTGGAAAATATTAGACACCTGTAGACTTTATCTGCAAACCCAATTGACAAAAAAAGCCAGCTCACTCCAGTTAAATCATGTGTTAATTTTAACAGGAAACAGGTGCTGACCAGCAAGAGCAAAGGTAGTAAGTTCCAAGTATCTATTACTTGACAGTATTGTACTTGACACCATTGCTTTTCCAGTGCTTTTCTTGTTGGGCAAATCAAGGTGCTCAACAAGTTGAATATTAAATGTGCATGATATTAAAAAAGCAAAATAAAGCAGTATGACCACAAGACAGCAGATTGGGTGGTATGAGATGTACCCAAGGAAAGGGTATGTGGATCTTCATAGAGAAAATGAAAAAAATCAATATATACATTAGCTACTTTAAATTTTTTTTTAGTTGCTTTAAATTTTACTGAAAACTTCTGACTTTAGAGCCTGGGTACATCTGATAGTAACCCATTTTGAACATGTGGGAGTTCTATTTACCTGAAAACAGGCCATTTGTAATGCACTATGAATTCTAGTAAAGGTTCAGTGATGTGCTCACTCAGTGATGTGTGCATGCTGACAGGACATTAGTCTTGACCCAACACCTTTGTTTCATGACAGGAGAGCAAAGCTCAGAGAAGGAATGTCAACATGCGTTAGACACAAAAATCTCCCTTTCTCTCAGGGCTCCGACTCTGTCACATCTCGCTGCCTCCACAAAGAAAAGTTAGAAGCTACTCCAGGAAAATTCTGAGCCACACATGTCTTTGACTGTTTGGACTGACATGCTAGGATGTGCACGATGGCCAGTGTAAAGCCTTGTCTTTAGAATGCCACAGATTACACAGACAGGCCCTCAGCAGCTTTGTGGGTTAAAGCAGGCTTTCTCAGGGAAAATTTCATCTCATACATGAGTCTATTTGTACCTGACTCCACATATGAAGAATGAAAAATATACTGTCAACAATCTGAACTATTGCCTACATGATGTCAAACACCCTGAATCATATTTTCACTAAAATGATCATCTGACAATCAAGAGAATTAAAAAGAAATAATGCAAGTTTGAATGAATGACTTTAGCATTTTCTTAGGTTTAGCTCAAAAGGGCATTAAGTATAGTTCAGGTAATTTATGAATAATCTAGGAATCTTATTGAAAATTTAATGTAATACATTGGAACTGACTACTTAAAAAAAAAGAGAGTAACTGGGTGACTCCCGATTAAGCAACACCAACCATTCTCTTCTTTTCAAGTCAGCTAGGCTAAAATGAACCTAAGAGAGAAGAGAAGTAAATTAAGATAATGAATAAATTATACAGCTTCCCTCAGAAAGTCCATACCTGTATCTGTGTGCTCTGTAGCTGGCAAATCTGGAGACAGAGTAAAGTGATAAAAAGGCTGGATGAACTCAGGCTCAGGTCCTTGCTCTCCCTTGTACCAACTGAGAGTCCTTGGGCAACATCTATAACCTGTCTCTCAGAACCTCAGTTTCCTCTCCCATAAAATGAGATAATAACATACGTACCTTATAGATGTCCCATGAGAATCAATGTGAGAATGTAGATCAAGCCCTAACATGTGGCAGGTACTACAGATGTGTTTCTTATTTTAGGATCAAAAAAGATAATTATGTTCTAATACAGGGAGTAGAAAAAGAAAAGTGTGTAGGAATAACAGTATGTTGATGATGCATCAGGGGTTAGATTCAGAATCTCTTCTGTGAGGAAGAGAAAATAAGGTCTTTATTTCACTGAATATTCAGGAAGCAATTAAGTGATCATTAAGCATAACTGCTTACTTTACTGTGCAAACTGCTTCATTAAAAAAAAAAGCAGGAAAGATGTTCCAGAAAAGCAGGTCCTCTCACATTTGAAGTAAGGTTTTTGCTTCACAAGCCCTCTCCACATACATTCCCTGGAAGACAGGGAAGGACAAGTTGTAGTGTCAGGGTCAAGAGCACAGGCCATAGAGCCAGACAGCCAGGCATCTCTCCCCTCCAAGACCAATGACATCTTGAGCTGGTCAGTCATTTTCTCACCCATACAATTGGGATGATGATATCTAGGGCTGCTTATCTGACTTAAAAACATAAGATTTTTCCTTCTTCCTTCTCTTTCTATTTTTTTAAATAACCAGTTCCAATGCACTGATGTCATAGGGCGGCTCTAAGGACTAAATAAAACCATGTGTGCAATGATCTTAGCCCAGTACCTGGCACACAGGAGTCAATACGTAGTTCTTGAAATGACCCTGATCATCATTCCCATTTCTGTTTGAGGAGCCTGAGGTTAAGTAGCTACTTAACAGCAAGAGGGACCCAAGCCTCTGGGACAATCTATATCAAAGCACAGGTTTTATGGAGCTTCTACTGAAACTGTGGCCTGACAGGAAGGATGACTTGTTAGAGGTCCCAAAGCATGTCAGGAATGTAGCAGTGCCCAGCATCTGGCCCTTTTTTTGGGTAGTTATTAATCCATAGACTGCATGTAGTAACCTGCTCAAGTGCTGCAAAGAACTAGCTCATCAACCATGAAGGAAATTGAACCACTCAGGACAAAGAAGAGGCTTTGGACTTCTTATGACTTTCCCTGGTAATTACACTTCTTGGTCAGTCTGATGTTAGGAGCTGGCAGCCATCTGCCCTGTTTTATTTGTTCCTTTGCAATTACTTTGGAATGTAAAACAAATGCAGAATTTAAATTTGAGGATATTTTTCTGATAATGAATTCCCTTGCTCTCTACTAAGTCTGAGAAGTTGGCTTAAGTCAAATTTGGCTGTGGGTTCCCTATCACCTCCTTTCCACTGAGACTTTTACTCATTCTCATTTTGTAGCAGATTCTTTACAAAGACTGTGCTAAGCTGAGAGTTCAGTGCTGACTTGGAGGGGTGAAAGGTGGATAACCGCAGATATGGAAAATGCACAGGGAACTACTCTGTCCAGGCTGACGGAGCTGCTCCTGAGAGAGCTCATGACAGGAAAGGTGCTTTGTGCAAGGGAAGGTGTGGCCTTAATAAGCACAGTGCCTCCTACACAGCCCTCATCTACTGCCCACCGGCAGCCAAGCCAGCGGGGGTGAATTCTTTTTCTAGCATATGGGAACTTCAGAACATACTGGAAAATACAAGGGAGTGTGAAGTATAGGAGATTTCAAAAAGGGCAAACCTCAAAGCTCTGGGACCCTCTTTAGTAGTAACAGAGGTGGGGTTTGTAAAGGGGAATATACACTGCAAAGCTATCCTCTTCTCAGCTTCAGGATCACAGGAAAGGTGATGGGCTACCATAAGTTGTGTAGGTTAATCCACCAGTTTGAGTTCTGTCCAGGCTGAAGAATTTTGCAAATCTGCATATTTTGACTTTTTGCCACAAACCTTCTTGTTAGGTTCCCATTTCTTCAGAATCTTAGAAGAGCTCTCTGTGTACTGTAAAAATGAGCGATAAGAACATGGCTTTGACCCTGAAGGCAGCAGGCTGTACTTACAGAATTGGCAGGCTGAACATACAGAACTGCATTTAAATCAGGCAGTACTGATAACTGGAAGAATTAGGTGCTGTAAATACAGTGTTTTGAACTTACCTGCATCTCGGTCCCTGATACAGTAATCTGGAGAATTCTCAAAATACACAAGATCATTTTTCGTTGGCTTCTTAAACCTCTTATTAGCCACAGTGAAACCAGTGCCATCCTGGTTCATGACGACCTGGATGGCCCCGCTGTACTTCTTCCACAGATAATCACCCGTTTTTCTGAAGTCAGCCATGGCCAGCCAACATGTCCTCAGCGTACATGAGCCACTCACACCATGACACTTGCACTCTTGTTTCAAGAACCGCTTCACAGCCTGCCAAAAAAGACAGGCAAGGTCAGTGGAGCTAGACTCAAGCTTGTGACATGTGCCACAACTGTCCAAACAACCAAGAAGTGACTGAAGATACAGGACCCCAGAGCTTAGGACTAGGAGATGTCTGAGGTCACTTGCTGGTCACTTCAGCCACACTGCACTGACTATAGCATGCAGGGAGGTGTGGATGAGGGGCAAGCAGTGCCTGACTGGGAGCCCCATTATGCTGTCAATATAACAAAAACCTCACCAATTTTAATTTAATGGGTACAGGGTAAGTTTGAAGGCAATGAATTTATTTTCTATATAAATATTCCTATATTATATTAAAAATGTATGCTATTACTCAAACTAGGTGAACAAAGTAATTGCTAAGCCCATAATAGGGACTGTTACTATTTATAGTATGTCCTCAAAAAAATGCTAATGCTTTCTGTACTCCATCTCAATTACCTTAATCTTCACAACAACCCTATGCTATCATCCTATACTTATTTTTCACATCTTAGGAGCAAAAGGTCCTGGATAGGTGGGACCCAAATGGAGCAGAGTTGGGGAGCCAAGATGGCCCTCCTAGGGTTGTATCTGTGGCAGACACCTGCCATCCAGGTCCCCCAGATGATAAAGATATGGGGGCAGGGGCACATGGGGGAGTTATAGTTCCAGAGCAGAAGTTCATTCTGATGTCTTTCAAAAATATTCAGGTCCCTGTGACCTGGCATACCAAACTAACAACATTCTTCCTGCTCACTTTGGTATCCTTGCCCTCCAAAGCTGGCTCATGCTGACAAGGACAGATTCCAAACGTAACAGGGCTCAGTCCACTCTGATGAGCCAGGCGGGAAATATCTAGGTGATGAGGCCCAACCTGGGAAGGGTGTGAGTGAATTAACAACCTCAGGGCCACCATGATGTCTTGGCTCCTTCAGTTCTAGAATGATTTTGACGCATTTCCAGGCATGGAATGAATTGCTGGAATGAAGAACATTTCTGCACATTTGGTTCTACTGAGCCTTAGTTAGAAACTGAGTCTGTGGAAGAGACAAACCAAGTTCAAGCACCAGGGATAACTTACCTGGGGTGCAGCCCTGGTATTTAGATCCCTGTGTATTTGGAGGATGGGGGAGGGAGCTCCACCTGGATCCCTGCTGGAGCCACCCACCCATGTCACACACTCATATATAATATATCAGAATCTCAGGGAGTAGGCAGAGCAGGTTTCCAACTACCACCTTCAGATTTGTAGAACTAATTCTCTCAGCAAGCTACTCTAAGGATTTTGTGCAGAGTACCACTTTGGAAAATGTCAGGAAGGGGATCCCTGTCCACTCTGTGCCCATCCCAGATAGCCTCTGTCTTGGGGATCCAAACTGAGGATGAGGACTCTCAGCAGGGGATTTCTCCTCCTTTGCTCTGTGACTGAGCCAAGGACCAAAGTCGTGGTCCCATAAGATCTCCAAGGCTGAGCACCCTCCTTCTCCTTCTCATGTCGCTTTGAGTATATGATGGGGGCAGCCCCCACCTATACACACTTGTCAGTTGTGATCTCTCTTGAGCTTGGGAATTGATTGTGAATGCTCTTTGTTCACAGCTTATTCCTTTTAAAGCTGAGTTATTTACTCCTAAGTTAATACACTTAGCTTTAAAAATGATTGGAAATATTACTCCCTTCCTTTTGCAATGCTAAGTTGCCAGGTTGCAAATTTCAAAGTTGGGATTTTTATATGATTAATTGGAGGATTTGTGTATTAATTTAAGGTTGGACCTTAAAGATACACCTTATGAATCCCTGAAAATACATGTGGCAGTGGTACCTATCCCTGATCATCACACTATTGAGTGGAAATGGCCATTCCCCTCTTCCTTCCTCAGTTTTGTTCAGGTATTAGACAGCCACATGCTTCAGAGCAGACCAAATCAATAATATTAATCTCATTTTTCTGCCCCTAATTCTTTTGTGGCAGAGAGCATGTGATAACTCAATTTGGGCTAATATCATGTGAGGAGTAATCTGTCAGAGGACTTGTAAGAAAGGCTTCTTCACTCTTTAAAAAACATATTTAAAATCCTAATATAAATTGCATTGTGCTTCTCTCAAGTTTTGAATTATGCATACTCTGCTTCCCTCCATTCTTTTGAATAAATCAATAATTAATTGGATAATGACTTCCGCCAAGATGGAGACATAGGTGGAAGCACTGCACCTTCTTGCACAACCATGTATAAAAACAACAAAGTTTTAGCACCAAAAACGCAGCCAAACCACAGAAAATTGAACTACACGGAAGTTTGACAACAAACCCTTCAGCCAAACTGGTAAGAGGGGCAGAGCCAGCAGCAGAGCAGGGTCAGGCAGGAAAGATCCACCTGACCGACCTGGGTGCGTGACCCAGGTGCACCAGCAGCCGTGAGTGGATCCCAGGTGTGGAGAAGCGGGCGGACCCACTGAGAGCTCAAGGCGGTGGACCAACTGAGGGCTGATCTCGGTCACACGTTCTCGCGCAGATAAACCGGTGAAGGAGCTAGCAGTGAGATGGACCACGCAGGCCCCATTGGCAGGAAGCGGCAGAGGGAGCTGCCATTGTCCATCTCTGACCACACCTCCACATACAGTGTCACAAACCAGCGACCTGGGTGGCCCCGTCATGGTGAACACCTAAGGCTCCACTCCTCATACATAACAGGAACGAATGGATCGAAACATGGCTCAAGAACAACTCAGAGCCCCAGAGCCCATAAATCTAAGCAATGAAGAAATAGCCAAACTTTCAGATGCACAGTTCAAAACACTGGTGATCAGGATGCTCACAGAACTGGTTGATTTTAGCCACAAATTAGAAGAATATATGAAGGCTAAACTAATTGAAAGGAAGGGAAATACACAGGAAACCAATAGCAATGGAAAGGAAAATGGGACTCAAATCAAAGGAGTGGACCAGAAGGAAGGAAAAAATGACCAAACAGAAAAGGATGAAGAAACAAGAATTCAAAAAAATGAGGAGAGGCTTAGGAACCTCCAGGACATCTTTAAACGCCCCAACATCTGAATTATACAGGTGCCAGAAGGGGGAAAGGAACAGCCATGAGTGGAAAACTTATTTGAACAAATAATAAAGGAGAACTTCCCCAATCTGGCAAAGGCAATAGACTTCCAGGAAATCCAGGAAGCTCAGAGAGTCCCAAAGAAGTTGAACCCAAGAAGGAACACACCAAGGCACATCATCATTACATTAGCCAAGATTAAAATGAAGGAGAGAATCCTAGAAGCAGCAAGAGATAGGGGACAGTCACCTAAAAAGGAGTTCCCATCAGACTGTCAGCTGACTTCTCAAAAGAGACCTTACAGGCAAGAAGGGACTGGAAAGAAGTATTCCAACTCATGAAATCCAAAGACCTACATCCAAGACTGATCTATCCAGCAAAGCTTTCATTTAGAATGGAAGGGCAGATAAAGTGCTTCTTAGATAAGATCAAATTCAAGGAGTTCATCATCACCAAGCCCTTATTATATAAAATGTTAAAGAGACTTACCTAAGAAAAAGAAGATAAAAAAGACGAACAGTGAAAGGACAGCAAATTCACAGTTATCAACAACCACACCTAAAACAAAAGCAAACTAAGAGGACACCTAGATCACGAGCAGAACCATAGAAATGAAGATCTCATGGAGGGTTAGCAACAGGGGAGTGGGAGGAGAAGGGGGAGAAGGTACAGAAAATAAGTAGCATAGATGGTAGGTAGAAAATAGATAGGGGAGAGGGCAAGAATAGTAGGAGAGATATAGAATCTAAAGAACTTGAGACATGTGGTCATAAACTAAAGGGGGGAATGGTGGGGGAGGAGATGTGCAGGGGGGAGGGGAATGAAGGGGGGACTAGGACAACTGTAATAGCATAATCAATAAAATATATTTTTAAAAATACAAATAAATAAATTAATTAAATAATTAACTGGATAATATTTCAAACCTATTAAATAGGGAAAAGTAAAGAGAGAAATATGGGGAATTACATTGCATCTTACAAACTCATAGTCATCAAAAATGCATTTAACAGGTGATTCACAGAAGTAATACAAAGTACTAACAAAAAGACATTAAACTTCACTAGTAATGAGAGAAATGCAAAGGGAAACACCATTTTTTAAAAGATGAAGGTGTAGGTGGACACACTTTGCCTCCTTGTGAAACCAAAACAAAGACAACAACAAATTTAAAAACAAAAAACAACCAGAATTGCCAGAAAAAAATCAAACTGTATGGAAGTCCAACAACCAAGGAGTTAAAGAAGAAACATTCATCCAGACTGGTAGGAGGGGCAGGGACTGGCAGCTAGTGGGGAGAAGACTCTTGGCAAGGCAGTGGTTGGAAGACCTGGGTGGGGGAGGTGGTGGCTGGTAGACCAGGCAGTCCCACATTTGTGTGCAGATAAACCAGGAGGAACAACTGGGGAGTGATACAGACTATGCAAAGCAGGGTTACAGTGTAGGGAAATAAAGCCTCAAAACCTCTGACTGAAAAAACCTGTGGGGTTGCAGCCATGAGAGAAACTCCCAGTCTGACAGGAGAGTTCACTGGAGAGACCCACAGAGTCCTAGAATGTACACAAACTCACCCATCCAGAAATCAGCATCAGAAGGGCTCAATCTACACTCTCCTTGAGGCACCCTTATAATTTGGATATTGGAATGTTTAAAGTTGCCCTGAAGGTTCTTAAGCCCCTCTTAGAAGAGACATATCTAAGAAAAAGAAGATGATCAAAACTATGAACAATAAAATGACAACAAACTCACAAATATCAACAATGGAACCTAAAAAACAAAAACACCATTTTTTTGCCTAGTACATTAGCATACAGCAAAAAGATCGATAATGGGAGTGTTGGTAAGAGTATGGGGAAGGAGATGCTTTAAGAAACTTTTGATGGGAGAATAAATTGATGTCCCATTTAAGTGGAGAGAATTTTTGGAATACTATATTTTCAATGTACGTGTCCTTTCAC